ATGCAGCTTGGGGTCGGCGGCCTGGGCTGTGGCAGCTAAGTCAGCTGGCACCCCCTAGAGCCGGGGATATGAATGGCATCAGTCATCTTCCCTGTTTTTAACAGAGCTACTAACTAGAACAGTTTCAGCTTATTTATTTATTTATTCTTGGTTTTTAACAGTAGATCTATTCCTTCTTATTTTTGATTGCCAGAAATTAAATTTGAGAAGAGGATTACAAATAATTATAAAGTATCAATCTAAGTAAATTGGTAGCTGTACTCAGTGCATTAAATCACCATTGCCCCTTTTGACTTCAGGAGTTGTTCAGTGAGGGAGGTGGTTGGCATGTTCATGAAATGGTATCAAGAGCCATTATAGAGAGGCAGAAATGTCCCTGTAACTAACTGAATGATGTTTCATTTATAACTGGAGACACGTAGAGTTTGGTTTTCTCTCAAAGCTTTAGTGATATTTCAGTTTGTGACTAGCAGAGCTGGAATTAAGTTTTTAACTTTTTAAACTCATGAGAACTGTTTAGGTAACCATCTGTCTTGTAACTACAGTAAATGTGTATATGCAACTTAGAAGATGCATTGCCTTAGAGTGGATTCATTGAGGTCAAGTGTGGGCCGTTTGATTTATAACCAAACCACCTTCACTCTGTATTGAAATCTTGTCTTGGAATTTTACGTTATTAATGTATCTACCTAGGACCTCAAATACAAAATGTTCTTGTGCAATAGGTGATGGAAATATTTTCTCTTTAAAACTACCAAAACTGAGAAGGTGGGTAAGACTTCTGGACCCATGCAGTGCTCATACGTGGGTAATGTTTTTATACGGGAGGCTACAAAATCATGTCAATTATGCTCAGCAATTATACTCTTCTTGGGGCTTCTCTTTGCCTTCTCTTCACTGCCATAAAATTAATAAGCCCTTTCATTTAAAGGTATTTTTGCACTCTAAAATGCAAGTTCAATGCCTTTGGAGATCAGTGTGCTGTGCAGTCTTTTCTGTCTCCCTGCAGTACCAGCTATTGTTATGTGGGAAGTGTAATTGGGAACACAGACTGGGTGCTGCTTTGTAAACCTGTGTGCTCGAGGTATACCAGAGAACCAATGCCTGTAAGACAGGTGTATAATCTGTGTGAGGGAGCTAGATACATTGCATGGCCCAGTTACATGAAGAGCTAGTGTACCAACTGTTCATGCTTTTGCTTTTACAGACTCATCTGGAAACAGTTATCTTAGATATTTTGTTTCTTGAATGGACTTTCATGTTTTCTATTGTAATCTTGTGAATACTTTAATACACTTCACCTCCCCATTACTGGTTTGCTGGATGAGTCTTACCTGGTTAGGGACTGCGAAGGGAGGGGGACTGAAATACACCACCTCTTTCTGGCAGCATTCTTCAGTCACTGCAGTCTCTGTCAGCTCAGCAAACAACACAGCTGGAGTGCTCACCATTTGAGAACTGAGAAATGCAAGCGCAACTGTTGGTTGCAAGCAGAACACACGTAGGAGAGAAAGAGCTGGAGGTGGCAGGACAACCTCTGAAAAGAAAATTGGAGCTGACAGTCTATCAGGTGTATGTCATTTTAAGAATGACTAATGCTTTCCTTAAAGTGCACAAAGACTTTGCACAGGATAATGTAACAGTACACCCAAGGTGAGAAAGGAGAGGACATCGGTGCCACAACAAGGTGCTGTAGCTCTTACAACTATCGAACAGTTTCCTCTCCACCTTTGCCATGCTGTAGTGATAACTCAGATGGGATTGGGGGAAAGTAAAGGGGGGAGACTAACAAGACTTTGCAAGCCCCAGTATTTCAATGCCTTCATTTTCCTGAAGAAGCTACTGGAGAAGTGACATGTTCATGTTTCATGAGTGCACACCTTTGCAGGAAATCCACGTGTGTTACAGGAGGGGTGGAAAGCAAGTAATAAACGTTTTGGCTGTTTATTTTTCACACTCCCAAGAACCAGGTACTTAAATGCACCCATTTTCTGTCTCTAGTTGTAAAGGATGACAGAAGCTAAAACACCAGTGGCACTAGTTGCCCCTTCTCTTGTTAAAGATGGTAGTGGCTTGGAAACAAATGAAGATATACATAGCTGAGGCTGAAAAGAATATCCTTACACAAGCGGGGAAGAGCATCAGGGAACGAAATACAAATGCTACTATTGTTGGTTACTGGAAGTATGGTGACCTGGAGGAAGACAACTGCAGCTGAGGCTCCAGCTGACTGGCGCTGTGTCACTCCTGTCACTGTTCGGAGGAGACAGGTAAGGTCAGGCCCAGCAACTCACTGGAAGCACAATCCAGAATCAAGTTTCTTTTTAAAGAGACAATAACACACAGGATTTTGCTTCAGTTTAAAAGGTTGCACTTTACTGAAGTGTACAGAGATACTTTGTTATTTGCACTTAGAAAACACTTGCTCTCTAAACATTTAGATTTCCTCTTTTATTTTCTCAAAAAACATTAGTGAAGCTAGGTCCCATGGGGAAGGCTTTGTGCATTGTTGGGTTTGAGCTGTGGGTTAAGCATCTCTTTGCTGCAGCTAGTTTTGTTGTTTTGCTTTGAGCTCCTGCTTATACCTGTAGGGGAAAAAAGAAAAGAAAAAGAGCACAGACTAAGAATAGAACACCAGTTGCAGTAACAGTGTCTGCCTAACAATCTGTTCAGCAGAGGAGGTTTAAAGTTACAACAGACTTGAGGGCATAAACTCAGGATAGCATAGTTTAGTTCATGTAAGAAGTTCCTGTTTAGTTGCTAAGTTTGCCTTATTCCTGGCCAGAACTGAAGCCTCAAGAAATAATAATTAAAAAAGAATTAGCAAATGCTGCTCTGCGTAAGAACCCTTCAATCCAGCTGGAGCTGACATGATTCAGCACTGAAAGCTGACAGAAGTGTAAAGCTTGTGAGGAAGAGAAAGTCTAGGCTGTCAGTCAGACCTACAGCTTTTAAAGAATGCTTTAGACCCAGAAACTACAGCTTACACAGAGCATTCCTTACAATGTGCTCTAGCTATGCTGAAAGTATTTAAAGCTTCATTCCTACTCAAGTGGGAAACTAACAATGAAGCAAAAAAGTTCTGCAGTGTTTAATTGCTCAGTTCCTCTTGCACTGACATGGAAGCTAGTAGAATTTATAAGTGCCTGCTTAAGCTGAGGTGGTGTATCACAGGATGTAGAAACTCCTTCTGAATGCATACCTCCATATTCGGTAGAGTTGAGAGCCACCAGCACAGCCAACAAAGAAGTTTACAGCAAACAGATTCCAGTTCTTAGGAATAATAACTAGAGAGTACCTTGACCAAATAAGGCCTGTTGAATGAAAGGGAAAGTTTAAAGATGTTAAGTGTTTAAAGTGAAATATTCAGACATTCTCCTAAGTTTGGAGACAATCATGCACCAGTTCAAGCAAACAGATTTTACAGCCTCATGTTAGACAACTGCTTTTCTTATACCTTGCCATTTCTCAGTTAAAAGTACATCAAGTGCCAGTGGGACAGCTATGGGTACATACTACATTTTTGCAAAGCAACTAAATAATACAGTAAATCATAGTCTTAACAGCAAAGAAAGAGCCTCTGTACTCTACAGCAGTCTCGACCTTAATTCTCCAGCACAGTTGTAAGGGTAGTGGCATTTTGCTTGGTATATCCAGCCTCCTGCACCAGCTTAGACATTATAGAATCCACCAGTTAAGAAGGGTCTACATATCATGTAAAATGCACAGATAACAAAATAAAGTCTGGAGAATGAAGAAGATGGCAGCTGCAGTTTTGATTTTCAGCTGGAGCTGCCACACGTCCCACCCCGACAAGATGTGGTGGAACACCTTGAATACAGATTGTTGTTTCTGCCAACGTGAAAACTGGTGACAGAAGCAGTGCGACAGAAGCAGTGCAGCAGTCCGTGTACCAGTGCTTCCAAGTTCTTTTAACACATAGGAACTCTTTCTAGTTGTGTTAGTGTAGTTGCCCTACCATTGTTTAATCCCTTAAAGTCTGTTCTAAAAGAGTCACTATATCCTGGAGATTCCAGAATTGCTTCATTTGAAGTAAAGGAGGTCACTTACTGGAATGAGTGGTATCATTGTAATTTAAGGGATGAAACTCATAATTCTAACTCTTAACAATTCGCTCTGGACAATTCCAAATTAAGACATGTGTAGAAAACTGTAATATATAATCACAGAACTCTTATAGATTTAATAAGCATAGGCCTGTCCTGCAGTTATCATCTGACAGCAATACTGAGACTTAGCATATTATAGTTAAGCCTTTTCTATAGAAGCAGGTTAGTACTTATGGAGGATTCCGAAAGAAGTTTTAGAGAAGTTGCTGCGTAAAAGCATGGAGTAACTTTGGCTTTACCTGTGGCCATTAACACTGCAGACTGTGCTGTGCTCAGCTTTTCTGCTGGTCTGGTCATATCAGCCATTCCAGCACATACCAAACCCTGTAAAGACAAATTCAGTGAGCACCGGGCCAGTACCAGGACCTTCTGTAACAGACCTCCCTCCGCTTTACAAGGGAAGTTGCTTCATAGCTCAGTGCTATGGATTCCATATGGATTATGCAGGAGGTGGGATGCATTACATGAGCAGAGTAATTAGACTCTCAGGGACACCATCCACTTCTAATCCCTTGTGGCTAAGTAAGAACACACTTATAGGGGGTGCAACTGGCTTGCAATAAAATACCAGGCAGTGGCAATTTTGTATTAATTTAAGAACAAGGTTGATTTAAGCAGAGCTGCTTAAGAAAGCAGCTTCCTAAAGGTAAGGCTAAGATATTGCTGTTAAAGATGTAGACGTGACACTATATAGTCTTCAGTGAGGAGGTAAAAGTGCTGTGTTTTAAATATAATTTCAGTAAAAGTAGAAAACATCCAGGTGAAGTGAGGAATAGTTTGGCTGATGTACTTGACAACTTTGCTAGCAAGCATGCTTGATTTGATTCTTGTGTTATTGCCCTCTACTGGAAATAAAATTTCATGCTGCAGGAGTTCACAAAAAACCAAACAAAATCCCACAAATAAGAGAGTCCTGCCATTAAGGACTCCTTTGGCTCCAGTCAAGAAACCAGTTTTTGAGGGTAGAGAAGTCTGTGTGCTGCCTCACTTATGGGATCGAGGCTGTTGTAACAGTGCCCTAGAGGTGCAGACTTCCAGCACACTTGGGTAACTACAGTAAATGTACCTTTGCCACGTAGGGGGAAAGTTATTTTAACTTCTCAGTGAAGAACTTCATTGTGAGCTTAAAGAAGTCTTCCTGAACGTTCATGAAAGAAAAACCATCTGCGTATATGCTCTTTTGATACAGCAGTTGTCGATACCAGCCTGCTCAGAGGAGTTGCCTGTACGCTTAGGCTCAGGAGCATGTCACCTGGGAGAGCCTCTGAGAAAGGGGAAGGTTAACCATGGTTACCGCAGCTCCAGTTCAGAATGACAAAGAAACTAAACTGCAGCTTAGAGCATCACGTCTTGCCTGTGGCCTATAAAAAGCTGGGGCTCAAAACGGGAAACTTGGGAACCAGCTGGCAATATTAAGAGCAGGTTATATCCTTGCTTGTTATCAAACAAGGAGATCAAAATGCTTTATGATTTTAGAGGTCATTTATCTATACCAATACAACAAATAAGAGGAGCAGAGTGATTTAGGAGGAGTCATACACTTTACCTGTGCACAAACATAGCTAGGGGGTGTAACCAAGTAGGAAGCAGAGAGCTACCAATGGCCAAAATGGCAGTTGCCTTTTTTCTTACCTGTTCTCAAGATTACCTTGCACTCTTGACACACTTTAACCTGCCTTCAAAACTATGATACTTTTCAAATTCCTCAATCTCAGACAAAATACATAGTTTTGAATTATGCCAGTTCATAACTCCCTCAAGAAACAGTGTTTCACAAGAGAAAGCCTTTGTGCAACTTTCAGCAAAAAGTCCAGTTTTTTGACAAAGCATTTCCCCTCTCCCTGCTGTCTCCCTTGCATGTTGTGCTGTATGTTATTGATGATAGTTTTGTTCCTCCTTGCAAATTAAAAACTAAAGCCTTGGTATTAAATCTTTCTGTAGGTTCAGATATCTGCTGGGAAACCATTGCTTGCTCAATGGGTTGCTGCAGATTGCACTTCGGCATCCAGACACTAGCTGGCATCTTATACTTACCCATTTCATAAGAGGTGCCCAGAAAAAAACTGTTTTGGGACCTGAGGGGAGGAAAAAGAAAAGTACTTAAATTATTCAGCGAGATGTGGCTGTTTTAATACCCACAATAAGTTTTGGTTTGGTTTTTTAAATAATGAGTTGTGTATATTAGCACACTTTCCACCACTGTACAAGCTCTATCACCTAATACTCATAGTTCATCAACTCAGTGCATCATACTTGAGCTGTGTAATCAGCCAACCCATTTCTGCAACAGGTGAGTAGGATTTTGTTATTTCCATTATTAAGAACATGAGGACACTAGAGCAGGCAAAATGTATATATAATGAAGAAAGTTAGGATAAGGCCTAGAAATAGCGAAGACAGTGTCTGTAATGATTAAAAGCTACTCTAAAAGAATTAGCATTTGAAATCTTTGTGAACTGAATCTTGTAAACTAAACCCCCAAGATATCTTATTACTGGTACTGTAACAAGTCAGTCCCTCCTGCCCTTCCCAAATCACAGCCCACCTCTCTATACTACAGAAGACACGTGGCACAGCAGCATTACAAGTGAGAGTACAGACTGCAAACCTAAGCAGTAGTAAATGTCACAAGGAGAGTGTCCGCATTCATCTCTAATCTGCACCTCTGAATAACCATGTCTTTCTAGCAGAAACAATGCTTCCTACCCAATCAACCCTACACCCCAATAATCTACCAAGAGGCAAAGGAGGATTATGGTGAAAGAAAGCAAAAATCTACAGAAAGAAGGGAGAAAAGTCAATGGAATGAGATCTGGGAAAACCATCTCTTTTGCAAATAAATCTCTTACAGCAGTGCTAAAATGGCAAGTGGTTGGTTAAAAAAAGGTACTCTAATGCCACACCTACAATGTGCAGACTGCCAACCATGCCAGAAATCATTAATCCAGAACTCCTGATTAAGGTCTTAAAAGAGAGATCATGATCCAAAGTATGCATCCACCACAGTGGTTTTGGTTTCATCAAAACACATTAAGGTTTAGGTCTTGCTAGGCCACTGCTCAGCATTCTGGTAACATGCAAGATGAAGCCAAGATTTCACTGTAATATGTTATGTATTATGAGTAAAGGTTTTAAATATAAATGACAACCACTAGGACTTTGGTTGCTTGCTTTTCATGTGAGCTGATTTGTCACTAACATTTCAGCCTTAAGGAGGTCTTTCAGTAACTATTTATACTGCTTGTTTTTAAGAACCCTCAAGTTTAAAACTATGACTTGGAGAAAATTAACCATCAGCTTTCTACAGCAAGCACCTGTGAAGCAACTCCTAATTTGAGGACTAACATTGACTGTTACAACTATGGGTTGTATCATCACCCTAAAGCCATCTAAGCCCTATAAAAGGGCAGGGCAACTGCAGGACAGAAAGCAACAAAAACTGGATTGGCAGCTCTGCACAAAGCCCTCTGCAGACCCACACTGCTCATGACAGTGATCAGGTTTCAAACTGCAGTTAGTAACTAGTGGCATTACTTTTTGCTTGGGTAAGTGAACATTTCTACCTACCCAGGTGTTTGGGTTTGGTTTTTTGTTTTTGTTTTTGTTTTTTTTTTTTTTTTTTACAATGCTTGGGGTTGTAAAGCCACTAAAACCATCTACTGTTGTTGAATAAATACAGCTCAATATTCATCCTTTAAAGACATTAACTTCAGTTGCTGTTCTCTTAGTATGTCAGTATCAGACTGTAAATACAGCTCGTTATAAATCAGTCTTAGAGGGGTCCCACAGAAGTAGCTTTAATTACTGCCATCTATTTTCTTCTAAACATTCGGATTTGGAGTACTAAAGAATGTGGGCTGAGTATAAATTACTAAATTGACATTCCATAAACAGCTTGTACAGTTTTCAAGATGACTGACGTTAATTTTTATTAATAATAGATAACCTAGTAATTTAAAACTGCTGACTACAAAAGTAAGAAACAATCAAAACAAGAAAGGTGTAAAGCCAAGATGCTTGTGAGGGAAGACTGTCAAATGCCTTAAGCCCATCACCTCTCCTGGGGACATTCTAGTAAGCACCCAGCCAAAGTGAGCTCTTCCCAGATCCTGACACCCAGAATTTTTCAAGGATGAATTTGACAGCAGCACATCAGAGCAGGGGCATACGAGAGGCTAATCTGGATATCATATGTGTGACCAGCTTATAGAATTTATGAGTTCTATTAAGTGTCTTTGTCCTGGCCAGTTTAGTTAGTTAAAAGAGGCCAAAGGAGAGGGAGCACAAGCTGAGCCCACGCTTCCCGGAGGCTGCCAGGAGCTCTGTAGCAGCCTGTACTACAGGCCCTTCACTGTCCTCCAGCAGTCTCATGCTATGCAATACCAGCCAAAGAAACAGCTTTTCAGACCACTCATCAGCTATTTTACTGGAAGACGTCAGTGCCAGAAAAGAAGTAAACTTTGTTCTTATTTTCTCACAAGTGATTTATAATTTCATGATAATGATGCTTAGATTCCTAAATTAGACTTGAAACTTGGATATCACCAGGGATAAAATGTGAGCTTCTAATTTTTAACCTACTTGTTTTGCAGGCAGAGTGACATCTATTGCATAACTGTTTCACAGAACCACCTTCAAGACATTCAAGGCTTAAACAGAATTGGCACAGGTTCAGCTTTGACACATGCTTCCTCTGTGGCTTTTCTCACACCATCAGCACGGGTTATGGCAGATGTATATGTATGTATATATATGTAAACATTCATACACAGAGGCCCTCAAAAACGGACTTTTTAAAGATTAATTTCACTATTAAGGTATTGAACAAAAGCGGCCCTCAAGCAGTCCCGTGAAAAGCACTGCAAGAGAACCTCCAAAGCCTTCTTCCATTAGCACCACAGCTCTGACAAAATGTTCCCATTCTCACCATGCCATGTTTTCAGTAAAAGCAGTTGGAAGCTGCCACATTTCACCCAAGATGAATGTGGCACTGGGAGGCTTGGCATCTTTACAATGGAAGTGCTGGATGTATTGACTCTTTATGCATAAAAAACAATTTAATGTTAGATATATGTATTGATCTAGTGAATTCAGTGCAAATCAGACATTCTGATAACTGCAGTTTTCACTCTTTAATTATGGCTTTTTTAAAGCAATAGTTTTCATTTCCAGAAAGGACTGTTAAAGGAGGACAGAGCAACCGACTAAAAACTATAAAGTCCATTTTCGCAGTGCATAGGACAATATTCCAGGTAGGTGAAGAGTCAAGGATGCATACCCCACTGAAACAAAACAGTGGCAGCCTATAAAGTTTCAGGATTTTATCGAGCACTCTTTTTAACTACCCTATGCAATTTGTTTACATGATAAACATCACCTAAATGGCACCGAAGAAGATCATTTTACAGGAGGTTTCTCCCTAATAACACAAACCCCCATGTTTGCTCAAGTAAAGATAAGATGTAGGTCAGGTAAGGGTAGCTCATTTCAGGATAACTCAAGCCCTTCTTTTCCCACATGAGCGTTTCAGCGACAAGAGTGGATTCGTAAAGGCCACGAGTTGACTTCATCTGCAGTGCCTGATTCGGCAGAAAGAAAATGAAGCAAACAGCTGCCGGACTTAAACCAGAGTACACTTCAAGACCAGAAATCCTCACAGCGCTCCCCGCTATTTTATCAGTGCATCCATTAGCAAGAAGTGACTGCTGAAGGCTTCGGGGCCCTTTGGAAACCACCCTATCCCCTAGGCTGGGGCTCGGCTCAGAC